TACCAAAAAGTGCAAGGGCAAGGCAAACAATATTTGAACTGTACAATGTTTCATTGTGTCCCTTGGTATCTATCCTATCGAAAAACTAATGCTCATTCAGTCAGATTTCTGAGATATTTAAGTTATTCATTGAAAACAAACACCAGTATTCAAAAATAGGGTATTTTTCATCATTTAATCGGAAATTTTAAATTGCCTAATGAATTACAAAGAAATGAGCATCACTTTTTAAAAACTATACAGTAAAATAAAGAATTTAAAATAAAAACCTACCTCTTGGGTTGTTGCCTTGCCCTTTTTGATTAAAAATTGAAATCTTAACACATTCATTCTAAATATAGTTTTCAAACGCATCATTGACCCGGCATGGGAGATAACTCTGTGGTACTTAATAGAGTTTGTGTACCTCGCAAATTTTAAACAAATAATACCTACGGGCTGTGCTGGGCTTTATTTCACTAAATCAAAACGGTATGCATAAAAAAAAAATCCGCGACTTTACTTTGTTTTGTATATCTTCGTTCTTTTATATGCTACACAAGACGTATTTGACACCTACCGCATTTCCTCCGTTCGTCAACAATAGGTCTAAAATTTGCCGCAACATCAATCATGTAAATCAATTGAAAATTCCCATGGTTAAAAATATTGAAAGCTTCAGTCATCTGTAATAAACAACAGACAGCCCCTATCAAAGATAAAATATTTATGCTCCCCCAGTAGACACACAGAAAAATTATCTCCAACAATACTTAGTTTTTTTTGTTTTTTTTTAATACATATGTGATTCTTTTAGTTATCAAACCTTCAACTGTTTAGGGATTCTAGACTACGTTAAAAGTTTTAAGAACAGTAGGAAGGGATTGGGGTGCTTGCTCCTGTATTAAATAACCTGTTTTCCTTTCTACAGATGTAACCCCCCCCCCCCCCCATCACTAGTTTGCCTCTGGCTCCTTTGATACCATATACCTTACTTACATGTTAACAATAAATTATTTGGGTATTGTAGCACAAATCACACTTGGAGGAGAGGGTGGGGGTGGGGGTGGGGGCTTTAGTCTCATTTTTTTGAGTTATTATCAATCCATGCGCAAACAAGATAATCATAGTAAAACCTTTGTAACCAAGAAACAGATACTCTGTTAAAGAACAGGTGAACACAATATACATGCTGAAATTTAGATCCTGTTGATGCCCAAAAACACAGACAGGCACGTAGCCAGAATGGAAGTAAAATTAATGTACACAGAGAACGGCTGGCGTCCGCTTTGAGGCTCCCAGTGGGTCGAGGGCGAAGCCCTGATGAGGGCCCAGAGGCGAAGTCCCTGGAAGCTCATGGGTTTTACCAAATATTTCATTCAAAATCATGCCATTTCGATTTTCTTTAGAACGTACAAGACATAGTAATATTGTTTTTAACACAAAGTTAAATACTTCCATGCAAATTTATTGTACATGTAAAGGCTGAATATTTTTTAAAAAGATATATTGGTATCATCTACTCTTTTTTAACTTTCAGCAACAAATATAATTAATTTCAATTCTTAACAAAAATAATGTTATATATCAAATCATATTCTAGTGAATCACAGCATTCAACGGTTGATATTTTCTCAAAGATCTTTAAAAATTATCAATGTGTTGTAGAAGAATTACAAATTAATGAATGTTTTATTTGGTTTTGGCAATGATTTAATAAAACATTACAATTTTGTTATAAAGAATTGGTAATATAAAATTTGACTTTGAATCGAAACAGTATGAGATAAAATAATTTGAAACACAAATATTTGCTGGGTGATATTGATATTTTTTCTCTTCTAATAAATCTCTCCCCCCCCCCCCTTTTTTTTTTATTTGAGAACGATGTGTACGCACCTGCGTATTTGCGTATAGGCAGCTACGGGCCTGTCAGAATACATGCAAGTAAAGATATTCAAATCTTAACAGCCTTCAAACTTTCACACCATTGTACTGTTGAAAATTCAAAGTATTATTTATCTAGAAAATTTATTTAATTAAGAACAGCTTTTCAAATTCAAAGGCAGGCTGTGAAGGGATTTCTGAGCAGATGCAAAATATTTCAAACAGTCCACAGTTCAAACAGTTCTTCTAGATGAAATCAATTCTGAAAACAAAATGAAATGCCACTATGGAAAGTTCATTGTTTTGAAAAAGTGATACTCAAAATAATGCATTGATTAACATGGAAAACATATACATGTATATAATATTTGTAACTCTACTGTTTTTATTATCAAAACATTTCAATAATCTTGATATGTATGGTATATAGCTAATATGGAGCATACCTTTTTATTTTATTGGTGCAAACACTTGCTGCCTGTTCAAATTGTTTGGGGGTAGCTACAACACAATATATATGTAATGAATGAAATACATAATGATTACTATTGTAGAATGAAATAACATTGCATTGTGCAAAACAAACTACATGTATGCTATACTATTTTTTCTGAAATTCATAAAATAAATGAAAACAAACTTTTGATGTGAAACTTTTCTGGGAAATTGAAACCTATGGTATTTGCAAAACTAGAATTCATTGGTTGCTAAAAGTAAAAAAAAAAAAAAAAATAAAAGCAATATACTTAGGATAACATTTAAGCCTTTCACCTATAATACAAAAATTAAAAAAAAATAACACTGGCATACTATAAAATTAATGTGAAATGCTTTAGTAGTGATCATAACCAGTGGAGAAATTGATGCATCTATTTTGGTAGTTCTGTTTGATGTAAATGCCAGTTTTAACCAGTTCTGTGACAGCTACAATGATAAAAGAATTATTCATATAAACAGTTTATAAATACATGTATATACAAATAAGACTGACTTAATGTACATGTAGTCAGACGAATGAAAATTCAAATATTTTATCTTCATTAATGTAGAAATTCTACAAATTTACAACCTAGTGATACAGATAGATAAATGTTCTACTGATAAATTTAAAATATGAATCACTGGTAAAAACTGAAATCTTAAAGTTCATATATTTTTGATTGCCAGAGGTATAAATTAAAATTCATAGGGTCTTATACTCTTGTATGTACAGTGCACATACATTGTACACTGTGCACTTTGACTTCACAAATACATGTACATTGTAAGTGTGACTGCATCTAAATTATAATTTGATATCATGACATGCTGTGCTTATATTATGTAACATGTTTGTACATGTATGCCAAAGGACAACATCATTGCATGTTTAAAAGTGTGCAACTTTCATAATTTTTGTGTGTGTGTTGGGGGGGGGGGGGGGGTACACACAAGGCACTGCATTACAGTTTGTGACGGACTGTAATAATACATCTTATTTTACATGCTCACGGTTATTTTACATCGATGTACAGAATAGTATGTGTACATGTTGATACATATGCGCATACACACCTTAATGAACAGAAGGGACCTAGGGAGGTACATGTAGTGTGGATCGTCTCAGTTTTCCATGATTTTCCGAAATAACGTCATCTTCTCATCAAAAAGATAAATAATGCCTAACGTTAGGTCTCTTATTTTATCCCTATTTTCCTTAAAGATTGCCTGACTGTTGCATTTATCCACTGCATATCTCAGCTGCTGTCGCCACGTTTTTAGATGTAAACAACATTCCGTGTCACCGAGTGCAAGCGCTTGGCTGACGCCGAATGCAGCCAAACGACACAATAAAAAGAGAATTATTTCGAAGACGTGTTGCTACCATATAAGAGAAAATCACTAGTGTTCATTTATTTAAACATGAAAATACAGACATTCATTACAGATTCTCGCAATCATCATTAAATAGCTTTTTTGAGCTCTATTTCCTTATATAGATCTATCTGGGCGGAGCAACTGTCATGACGTCAAACCTCATTATGACCTCATTACCATATTATCTTCATGTGTAGCCTTAACTGTACTGCGTATTTAAACTGATCTATTACTAACTTCTTTATAATAAAAGATATCAGACACAGAAGTATTGATTGGTTGTACAGAATAAGATAAACATTCTAAATATTTAAGGTTAACATAAGTTGTAAATAAACAATGATAAAACTCATCTAAAAATGTAGAGAACAGCTCATCCTTTTACAATTGATACTCATTTATTAGTATTTCTAAAAAAAAAAAAATCTAAATTCAACGTGCTTCATACATGTTTCTTTAGTGGTTTTCCCCCAAATTCATGTAGATCCACTTTTTTTTTTAGGGGGGGGGGGAGAGGGGGGGAATCTTTTATATTTTAAGTGAAAATGTTTAAAGGATGTCAGTCTCTGAGAACCTTTTGAAATACCAGTCATGTTCTTCCAATACGACAATTATTACTTATATAGTTTATATGTTGGTGTTATTTTTTTATTTTGTGTTACCCTGGACCGTAATGGATAAATTGCCCTCGTTGTTGCTGACATTATCTTCTGAAGCCTTTTTAACTTAGAACTTAGTTTTCTGAGCTCACTTGTATCTCTGTCTTCATTTTCAGATTCTATTTTCTGCAAGAGGGCTTGTCCTGTTTTAGAAAAGTCTGACGTACAAGATTGTGTCAACACAGATCCTTACTGCTTTGTTGAAAAAATAATTCAACCGAAAAATGGCAAAGAATGCTTCAGTGGTTGCATAAAGGCCTGTTCGTAATTGTCTCTCTAGACTTTACAATGTTTACTAATCATTGCTTCCTGAGTAATTAAAACACGTATATCATGGATTTATATTTGTAAAGATCTAGGATAAAAAGTTACTTACTATATATAGACATTGTTTCTGGATGAATTATCATTAGAGTCAACATTATACTGTTATCCAAATTTAAAGGTTGTTGACGATTTTATCGTACATTTGGAAGGCTGATTATATTTATTACCATGATTACATCTGGTAAAGTACCAGATCTATGCAATCATGGTAATAAATATAATCAGCCTTCCAAATATGAAAAAGTCTAAGAGTTACAATTTTTAAGTGTAAAACGATTAGCTCACAATTTGTTACCTAATGAAACTGAAGGTTAATTGCTGTGGTAATGAAGCTAACGATCATTTGGACGTTTATATAAATGACTGTTCTCACGATCAGCTGTTGCATTGTTAAATTGCTCGTGTACTGGATTATAGAAATGTATATATTAAACGTGAACAACACTGATATGAGACTATAGATTTCCTGCTTAAACATAGTTGATAGAAAATAAACTGTCATGAAGATGTACGCTCTTTTGATATTTGCGATCTGCATTGGAAGCTGTGCATCGGTTTTCGAACCTGGTAAGTTTTCTTCATATTTCATTTATTTAACATTTTAATACATGCTAATTTTGTTCCATGCATAAAAAAGCTGTTCTTAAAATGAGGATACATGTACAATTTAGGTACACAGACACAACATGTAGAACCTTGTAAAATGCATTACACTTGTTGTTTTTGTTTTAATGATGTTTCACATAAGGTTCACACTGGAAAATTAATTGAACTTTTCATTCATTCTTCCCACGTTAAGTTCAAATTTACACCGAGAACATTTTTAAGATACATGTAGATAGAATACATCACGTTAATTACTTCATTTTGAATCTGTGAACTAAATTATTAGTCATTAATCAGTACTGAGGAATTGTTGTTTTTTTTAATTATCCTCGAGCTCTTAATTTACAAGTGGCAATCAAAAATAGTCAGGAATTCTTACTTTTATAGATTCTGTATGAACTACAGTACAAAATTGACATGCCTAAATCTTTTTGAACAATATCCGCTAATTTTCGTTCTATATTTTATGGTGGCATATTTCGCTCCATCCCCAGCTGTCAGATAATTATGTCGACTTGTCAGATATTACAAGTAGAGCTTTTTCAAAAAGTTTACCGTCTTTAGCAACAGCCTTAAACAGTAAACTGACCTAAACCTATCAGGCCGTATAATTCTTGAAAATTTCTTGGCTTTGTATTTCTTCATTAGTTTTTTCTGACATAAGCCCTACCAAGTGAAAAGTGAACAGATGCTCGGCTGTCTCCGTAAACTTCGACTCTGCTGCCGAGATCATTCGGCAAACCTCGGCTGATTCCGATACCTTTGTGATATGTAGATGAGGTAGGAATCGGCCGAGGTGTTGCCGAGATTAGAAAGACAGTGCAAAACAATGGGAAAAAGAATACATACAAGCTGCAAAACAATGGGAAAAAGAATACATACAAGCTGTAAAGCTTGCATGCAATAAAGATCAATTCTGTTAACAATGAAAATATAGAAACTTTTTTTTTTGGTAATTGCTATAAAAAAGCATGTTATTTCGAATTAATTACTGCTAATTTCCACTGTTCATCATGTAATATTTTTTTACGATTGAAAATCTTGAAAAATTGTTAAGAACCCTCTCTACACTGCACACTAAAGAGTTCTGATTCTATTGTATTTTTATGCAGTTAGAGTGATCTGCCCTTAGATCTAAATTCCAATAAATGGAAATTTACAGTATATTACTCAATCTGTAATCAATTCAAGTATTCTTAACATTTCAAAAGACCAAGATAAATTAACTGAACATGTTATTTACATGTATTTTCTCCATGGAAGAAAACAACAGTGATTTCTGTTCTCTGGTACTGTGTTGTGTTTTAACATTTTTCCTGTGGGTAAATGCCACGTACCATATTGAAAATTAAAAAGATAAGATCAAAATTTACACCTTTATTCAATATAATTTTCTTAATGTCCAAAAAGCATTTTGCAATGGTGTAGAGAGGGTCCTTAATTAGATCATCAGAAAATTATCTCCCTTGCCTTGAACAGCATTTCAACAAATGAAATAATTGAAAATTTTCTCATCATGCAATTTCTACCAATCACAAAAGAGAGGAAGTTCATAGTCCGAAGATTGTAAAATACTTCAACTCTGTATACCGTCTTCCAAGGAAGACGGTGATAATGACAAGTAGATGTCAGTTAGTGGCTTTAATACGCTGTAAGAACAAGATAACGAGTTCTTAGTTGTAATGATTTTTGACAAGTCGGCATAATTATCTGACAAGTTAACATAAATGGGTCAAGGTCATGACACATCCTCAGGTCATAAGCAATGTTTGTGTTAAATGGAAACTCACCAAGTTTATCCATAAGAAAGATATGGACCGGACACAAATTATGAACTTTTTCTTTCAGTGACCTTGAACTTGCCTAAATGACCTTAAGTCAAAGTCGTGACACATCCTCAGGTCATGAACAATCTTTGTGTAAAATGGGAACTCGCCAAGTTTTACCATAAGAAGATATGAAACGTACACAAATTATGAACTTTTTCTTTCAGTGACCTTGAACTGTCCATACGACCTTGGGTTAAGGTCACGACACACCTCAGGTCATAAGCAATCTTTATATAAAATAGGAACTCACCAAGTTTATCCTTAAGAAAGATATGGACTGGACACGAATTATGAATTTTTTCTTTCAGTGACCTTGAACTTGCCCAAATGTCCTTGGTAAAAGTTATGTCACGTACACCCTCAGGTCATGAACAATCTTTGTCTGAAGTAGTAGATTCTAATGTTCCTCTGTAAGAAAGATATTGACCGGACGCGTTTGTACAGACAGACAGACGGACAAGGTGATTCCTATGTAAACCCCCCCCCCCCCAACTTCGTTTGCGGGTGATATAATAAATTTCAAAAATCTCTTTTTTCCAGGAAGATTGAATTGTCTTCCACCTGCTCGCTATAGAATGGGAGCTTGCCTGAACACTGATCCGTGCTGTATTGTGTCCCCGGTGTTTGTAAATGGCTGCTTTCAAGGCTGTCAGGTGGCATGTCATAGTAAGACTTTTTTCCTTTACATTATATCTATTTAAACAATAAAATGCTTATATTTGTTAAAACAATAAAATGCTTAAATTATGACGTGACAAAATTACTGCCAAAACTTTCTGTTATGCTAAACACATCACATATGCACAAACAGCTACAAAATCAAACCTTCATCATGAACTTAAAGGATGAATCGTTTAAACGTCCAAATCTGGCCCCCCGATAATTTACAAAAAATTAAATTAAAGATTTTCTACATATATTTGCCTTAATCTTTCCATCAAACATTGTAGTTTATCAATTTCAATTTCAATTTTTACCTCCTTACGCTGTAATTAGGTATTTATGTGATTAATATAGCAGGGGTATGTTGTTTACATCGATTTCTCATAGACTTTAGGCCACACCCCCATTTTGCAAGCCCATTTTTTATATGAGCGCATGGATGTTTCAAGTTGTCGTAAATACGGTCAATGTAAAGAGTTATACTAGTCATTTACTTTCATGAAAGAAATTGAAACAGTCTTGCGCTCATTTGTTATTTTCCAAAAAGGTGCAAAATCACGGGTGCTTGTCTCCATAGTAAAGGCACTTTGTTTACAAATTTCAACCCGTCTTTGACCTCATGAATAACAAGGCACTGAACACGTGACTCAAATCTATTCACTTCCACGCTTTGAGCACACCTATGCGACATTGTGTCTAGTGTCTGCGAGCCATCGATGGTCAAATCATTTTTCAAATAGGTAATTAAAATTCTGGGAGAAAATTTTTTATGATTAAGATGTGTTAAGATTTTCAGTCGATTTGTTTGATTTTTTTCCCGGTATCTATCAATTTGTATTGAAGGCCTTAGCATATAGCTTGCACTTATACTGTTTGTGTCTCATAAATACAGAATTCTAAAATTTAAATTACTGTGGGTACATATTATACATTTGCCCTTGTTCCTAAATATACATCAGTGCTCCGTTCATTGACTTGGAAGATATGAAAGATTTTTTTCAGTTAAAACTGTCATTAATTTTATAGTCCTTTATTTGAAAAACACCAATTCATCATATCTTTAGAAAAATAAATTGTTTGTTACAAGTGCACAAATGCATACTTCCCATAGAAGAAACCTTCATGGAAAGAAATTGAAGTACGGAGCGCTCAAAAAACCTGTGTATCGGATGAAAAGTCACTGGATGAATACATTTGCACAAAAAGCACCCCTAATTTGAATAGAAGGAAGCCTCATGTTTCTTCTGAAGCAAATGCTATTTAACTTTTTACATCGGCACAAAATTTCACATTTTTTTTTTTTTTTTTTTTTTTTTTTTTTTTGCAGATCATGTAAAAAAAAGTCCATGTTCGCAGGTATTTTTAAAGCATAATGTTTAAAAGCAAGAACATGCATTTGTATGACCCTTTCACATGTCCGATCAACGTAGATATAAGTAAAAAAAAATCAGCCGAATGAAAATGGGCGTTAAAAATACCTCGGAGTGATTTATTATTTATCTTACTAAAGAGAGAGAGAGAGTTTGTTAAAATCAAAAAGTACAGGAGTAGATTTCGACAATTAATGAATTCCTAAATGAGGAAGATCATATTAACTTGTCTGGCATGAATAAACAGGATTTTTTGAAACAATGCAATTTGGACTGTACAAAGTACACTGACACTGTTTCTTAATCCACCAGCAATGATACTGAAATTAAACTGACGTTTAAATTTTCACTTTCTTAACTATCTATTTTTTATACACCGAGTGTAGTTTTATATCATAATTCAACCGCCTACGTGTATTTGTTGTAGCACTCGGATTTTGCAAAATTATATATATGTCTGAAAAAATTTCTAATTATGTAATAGGCTTAAAAAAAGGTTTCTTTAAAGTATGAAAACTAGTGTATCCTTCGTTTTACGTTCTGTTTCCAAATTCCATTATGAATTTAATGTATAAATAATTTAATGAATTTCTAGTAAATCATTTCTTAACGACTCGTAAGTTAAGCAGAAAAGAAATCAAAGTTAAGCCAGCCAAATTAAAAATGTATGCTTATATTTTGTCGGTCTCAAGCATGAAAAAAGGCTTTTTAGGTGTCAGTTAATCATAAAACTTAGTACACATCGAACACACGCTAATGTATTCATACTAATCGCACGCTTGATAGACGCTCCGCCTTCTCATTCAAATAATACAATGACCTGCATAGCTATAATGGCGAAACCGGGATTTTACAGTGAAGTATGCGATTTTATTTAATCGATATAATGTATATATTGAAAGTCTCTTTCCCCCAAAAAATCTTTTATGAGTATCTATACAGACTGTGCTTGAAGACTTTAGCTATAATATAACAATGTTCTGATTTGAAAAGGTAAAATTCTGCATTTAAAAAGGGGCGAGAAAGCAGTGTTATGAGGATTCATTCTTTTAAGTTCAATTAATTCAATAAGATCAGTTAATGTGTTTTGAAATGAAGATTTCATAAATACATTGTATTTATTATTGACTCTGAGTGTCCAGCTAGGGGAAAATAATTGGATGATTAAATCGTATATTTGTTTTAAATAAAAACTGAGAGAATTTCTGTAGGATTGCTCTCATCAGACCCGTGGTACCCCTTCCTTTTCATCGCAATTTAATTTGAAATGAGTCTTTTGCCAATAATTATCAACAGAAATTTTTAAGATTAGTCTGTCGGGTTCCCCACTTTCTGTTGTATGTTTGAACACTCTCAAATTATTGTATCGAAAATGTTTTCTGCGAAAATTAAGCGTCCTCAAGTAATTATAAATAAAAGAATTTGAAATGTGTGAAATAGCCTACACCCTCCTTTTTGTTTTTTGGCTTGTCAAAGTTTATCATGTTTATTAACCGAGGTTTTAAATTTGGCTTAAAAATATAATTTCTTTTTTGAAATATACTGTAAGTATACATAACATTAAAATGTCTGTAAAGGACAAAATGAACACAGGGTGATTTTATGGATTTGTTTTAAACATGTTTTATATTTTGTTTTTGTTTTTTTTTCAGATTCTATATTTTGCGAAAGGACATGTCCAGTTTTGACAAGGTTCGATATCGAGAAATGTGTCAATTCCGATCCCTTCTGCTATGTTAAAAAAATAACGGAAGAGACAAGAGGCAGAGTGTGTTTTAGAGGTTGCATGATGGCCTGTCAGTAAGCTCTAATTAGAATCCGAGGATTCTTATCCTAGATGTGTTTCGTTGATAGATACAATGTCACAATCTGTATATATTGCAGTTTGTGATCTTAGCTCAAGATTCTTTAATGTCCATCCATTAACGTTTAGATGTCCTATTCGTATTGTTTAGGAGGATATTCCTAATTTGAGCTTTTCATCTATCATGCTTTGCTGATCATGTGTGTGTTTTTCTGATAATGCAACTATATATCTGCCGTAAGTAATAGTCTTTCAGTGTTTTCCTTTTATTTCAAAGTAAAGTGTTAGCATGGTTAGAGATCAATTGAAACAGGCATTGGTCGAGGCTTATGACGAATCTCTGTGGACCTTACAACAATTAATTTTTGGTTTTTTTAAATTTCAAAACGGCATTTTTATCAACTGAAGCCGTCCATTTGGCTCTACTTGAACGCAAGAAGACTGACTTGAAGCATTCAATCCCTCCAAGTCCACGTTTCGCCTAAACACTCGGATTTTCTTATTAACTCAAGCAAAAATGATTTTCACCAAACCCGGATTATCTTATCACTCGAATCACCTCGGCTTATTCCATCTAAATGTATGTTAGATGTAGGGTACCGAAATCTACCGAGGTTTGCTGAATGTAGAGTTTAAAACCTTCGCTTTCCCACATCAGCCCCTGGTTTACTCGCTGTATTGATTGGATTCTTTGTTCGAATACAGCAAGCCAAGTTAGCTACATGTAAACTTCCAATGCAAAATAAAACAAGACGCCCAGGGGCCACATCGCTCACCTGAGCACTTGGGCTAGGAAAAAGCAGAAATCAGTTCAGTATTGAAAAGTTTAAATATAAAAGTGGTTCGGGTTGGGGTGGGGGTTATGATTTGAACAAATTTGAATCTACACTTCCCAAAGATGCTTTTGAATTAATATGATATATAATGGCTTAATTTGCTGTTCTTAAGATGAAAATAAATATATTGATACATCCTTTATGTTCCTTTGTATAACTATGATCCCCTGTTATGGCCCCTATTTCCTCCTGAGGGTCATGATTTGAACAAATTTAAATCTACATTACCTGAGGATGCTTACATATACAATATGACTAATCATGACTTTGCTGTTCTTGAGAAGATTTTAAAAGTTTTTTTCCCTATATATTCGTATGTAAAACTTCGATCCCCCAATGTGGCCCCATCCTACCTCAGGGGTCATGATTTGAACAAACCTGAACTACCTGAGGATGCTTCCATATAAATATGACCAATCATGGCTTTGCTGTTCTTGAGAAGATTATTAAAGATTTTTCTTATGTATTCCTATGTAAAACTTCGATCCCCCATTGTGGCCCCACCCTACCACCGGGGGTCATGATTTGAACAAATTTGAATCTACACTACCTCACAATGTTTCATGTTTTCAAGCACAGTGGTTCTTGAGAATAAGATTTTTAAATGATGCCATTAATTTTTCACGAAATCATAATTATCTCCCCTTGGAAGAAGCGTGGCACTTCATCAGAACAAACTTGAATCCCCTTTACCCAAGGATACTTTGCGGCAAGTTTGGTTGAAATTGATCCAGTGGTTCTTGAAAAGCTGAAAATGTGAAAAGTTTACGACAACAACGATCAGAAAAACTCGCTTGAGCCTTCGGCTCAGGTGAGCTAAAAATTCTTGTACAAGATTTACAGTATGCCATGTGCAATGGGAAGAAATTTTAATTTGAACATACTTGAATCCACAATAACCTGGGGATGCTTCCATATCAATATGACTAATCATGGCTTTACTGTTCTTGAGATTAAGATTTTAAAAGATTTTTCCCTATATATTTCTATGTACAACTTTGCCCCCACCCCCACTGTGGCCCAATCTTACCCCCAGGGAATATGATTTGAACATACTTAAATCTATACTACCTGGGGATGCTTCCACATCTATATGACTAATGGCTTTGCTGATCTTGAGATAAAGATTTTTAAAGATTTATTCCTATCATTTCTATGTAAGTTTTGTAGTTATTAATGAAAAATAAAAAGAAAACAAGAGGCCCATGGGCCACATCGCTCACCTGAGTAACTTTGGCCATGCAGTTCTATATCACGATTTCCCCCCTTGTAATACCTATTGTGGCCCCGCCCTACCCCCAGGGGTCATGATTTGAACAATTTAGAATCTACACTACTCCAGGATGCTTCCACATAAGTTTCAGCTTTTCTGGTCCAGTGGTTCTTGAGAAGAAGATTTTTAAAGATTTTTCCTATTTATTTCAATGTAAAACTTGGATTCCCTATTGTGGCCCCGCCCTACCCCCTGGGGTCATGACAATTTAGAATCTACACTACTTGAGGATGCTTCCACATAAGATTCAGCTTTTCTGGCCCAGTGGTTCTTGAGAAGAAGATTTTTAAAGATTTTTCCTATATATTTCAATGTAAAACTTGGATTCCCTATTGTGGCTCTGCCCTACCCCCAGGGGTCCTGATTTGAACAATTTAGAATCTACACTACTCAAGGATGCTTCCACATAAGTTTCAGCTTTTCTGGCCCAGTGGTTCTTGGGAAGATTTTTAAAGATTTTCTTATATATTTCAATGTGAATCTTGGATTCCCTATTGTGGCTCCGCCCTACCCCCAGGGGTCATGATTTTAACAATTTAGAATCTACACTTCCCCCATGGATGCTTCCACTTAAGTTTCAGCTTTTCTGGTCCAGTGATTCTTGAGAAGATTTTTAAAGATTTTTCTTATATATTTCAATGTAAAACTTGGATTCCGTATTGTGGCCCCGCCCTACCCCCGGGGGTCCTGATTTGAACAATTTAGAATCTACACCATCTCAGGATGCTTCCACATAAGTTTCAGCTTTTTTGGCCCAGTGGTTCTTGAGAAGAAGATTTTTTAATGACCCCACCCTATTTTTGTCTTTTCTTGATTATCTCCCCTTGTAAGGGGACTTGGCCCTTTATTTTAACAATTTAAACTCCCCTTCACCCAAGAATACTTTGTACCAAGTTTGGTTAAAATTGGCCCAGTGGTTCTTGAGAAGTTGAAAATGTGAAAAGTTTACAGATGAACAGACGGATAACGGGTGATCAGAAAAGCTCACTTGAGCTTTCAGCTCAGGTGAGCTAATAAAAAGGACTGAGTTTTAGTGTCAGTCAGAAGAGGGCAAACATACAATTTTTAATATATTTGATCAGTGCATACTATCTATTCAAGATATATTACTAAAGTCAGGTACTCCACGTACACAATTGCACTGAAAAAATATAGTTCCATTCATGATCAGAAGATACATTACAACAAATGTTTAGAATATTGATGTATATGTAATACGTGGAAGAAAACAAAATTATCATAAAATAATTTTAAGAAAATCACCTTTTCCCAAGAAATGTAAATAAGAAGTATTCATATTCCTACGCTAGCTGCCTCCTCAGTCGTTTCACAAAAATATAGGTCAATCTTTGATTGACAATTTTTCAACAATTACATAACTTTCATGATTATTGTTCATTAATAATTATACAATTATTTTGAAAGAGAATGTTAATCATTAGTTGTGTGTATGTTTGTTTTGTTTTTGTTTAATGACGGAGTGGTTACATGTACACAACACCTGCACAGATTTCTGATTACACAAGTGTATAGACCTAGGCTATTTGGTGTTGCAAGCACAGGTATGCACCGTTTGCTAGTGATGAAAGACTGGTGACAGTATTTCCTACGGACATGAACTATACACCAGTTTCATAACAAGTGCAGTTTTTTTCCCATAGAGATCAGCTGAGCAGTAAAAACTGAAGTAAATTTAAAGTCGAATATCTTGGATATGGGGTAACCCATATCTACTCTTGTTTAAAGATGGCCTTATGCTTCATCATATGTCAGTAATTAACACAACACTGATTCAAATTGCATGCAAGATTTATTAAATTGCACATCTGAGTTATATAAATTTGCAACTTATAATTTGTACAGCAACCGTAAATCAACACAAAACAAACTCATGCAGCTTTATGCTGTTCTTGTAGTCCCTTTATTGTTCACATTTGAACTGCTGCACTAAAGTAAATCCTCTTAAAATGCTCCAGATTTGCAAGTCTGGTTGGTGTAATTGTGTTTACCATTCATTAAATCATGAAATTCAGGAAAGATGAATCCAAACATCAGACATGACATCCAAAGATGTACAAACAGCATCCAAATCATGTATTTGACCAAGCCCCCAGTGGTACATAAATGCAAGATTGGTTTTGATACTACTTGTAATAAGATGAAAACATTCCTAAACACTGTCCTTGATCAGATATTAAAACAAACAGGTATGGAGCATTCAAGCACCTAAATATCTAAAGGTGAATACTTGTAAGTGCAGGTTTAGCTTGCCTCTTGATGTAATACAGTTCAATTGACTACCGTTACTGGAAACCTGCATCTGGTCTTGTTTCTCATATATCTGGATGAGGGAGTCACTACAGCATATAATGTGTGCTGCAAGTCAGATCATTGCATGTATGAGACTGCATGCATTCATAGATCTATGTAAAATATGTGCAAGTTCAGTTTTAAAGATATCAGGCAAAACTATAAACAGCACTCTATCATTTTCTTTACACATCTAACACAATTATTAATTGTATTATAATTTGAATTGCAACATCAACACACTAAGCTTTAATATTCTTGTAAATAAACTAATTCTACAATCATATCTTACATCAATTATATGCAAAAAAACACAAAGTTTTGTACAAATTCACAAAATTATCCCTTTATTAGCTTCCCTTGCCACCAAGGAAAAGCTACAGAAATCACATATTTGGTGCAAACACTATTGAGGACTCTGTGTCCAATTGGCAAATGCAGGGTAAACAACAAAAACAATGAACCCTCATTCTTATAAACCTATATTGAAAATAAATTATTTACTTTTGGCAACCCTCTAGAGAATAAATATCCAAACCCCAAATTATCAGGATCCAAACATATACCCTATCCCCACTGTCTTACCATGAATGACCCATTCAGGGTAA